TGTCAACGAACAAACAAATCCACCGCAGCCGTCACTCCAGGAACCTGGCCTTGGGCCCAGTGTCCAGTCAAGCCCCTCTTCTCAAGCCAGTCACCACGGCCCTGCCGGGTTCCTCGGCCGGAATCCACGCGGTGCGAGCAGCGAGTCACACAGAAGCATCTCCGGAACAGCCAGCGTCACTCTGCTGGCCGCGGGGAGCGCCTCGCCAGCAGCTTACATTCCCGGGAGCGGTCTGGAGTGATAATTAAATTCCAGATGAATGGGTAGAAATTCGACTGCGCTGGGCTGTGCCCATTATGCTCCTACAGGGACCAGGCCTCGGGGACCTGTTCACCACCAACAGCTAATGTTTGTAAAACCCTGTAAAGACATAATGACTCGACGCCATCATTACAACAAGGCTGCTGGCTGGGAAGCAAACCAGGAGCGAGAGCGGGTGTGCACAGCGGGGCGCCCTGAGAGGAGCCAGAGCCTTCCCTGAGCCTGCTGGGGGTGCTCGTGCAACTGCCCGAGCACCCGGGGCTGGAGGCAGGAGACGCCGAGAGGAGCCACGCTAAGATTTCTGGAACACGGGGCAGACTGGGCACCTACGCTCCAAACAAAGCCAGCATGAGGTGGCAACTCCCCTTGACTGGCTGCAGCCCTTGGGTGGCCAGGCGCTACCTTCACTGTGAGAGGGGGTGGTTCCCAGCGCAGAAGTCAGGCTGCCACAAAGGCCCCTCCCAGCCTCTCCCGGGGCGCTGGCCTGCACCTCCACAGAAGTTCAACCCCCTTTCTCTGGCTTGTGCCCACAAAATGCTCCCTAGCCCCTGGCCAAGTCACCAGCACCCCTGTTCTGTTGCCCTGGCACCCACATCTCACACTGCTCCCGAGGAGGGTGACCAAGGAGCTTCCTGGTGGCCTCATGACTCCTAAGCCAGAGCAAGGTCTGCAGAGGCGCGTGGTGACTCGCGAGCACTCCAGGTTGGCATGAGAGACCAAGGGGTTTCCCCAGGGGGCAAGTCTAGTAAAAATGAAGAAAGCAGGAAAACTCCACCCTGGGTGCACAGTCCCTGACTGGGGGAGTGCTGCCCCCAAGCCCTCTGGGGATGTGCCAGCAGGGGACACCAGCATCAGACCCACAGTCCTGGACACCAGAAGCTGGTGCACCCCGTCTACCCCAAGGTGTCCCCCCGACCCCACCTAACCCTGTCCCCCATGAGGTCAGTACATGTGCACAGTCCCCTCGGCCTCTCCCTTGCCAAACAGGGGCGCGTCAGCCCCACTTTCCAAAGCAGGAAACCAGCCCAGAAAGGCCCAGATCGTGCCCGGGGGCTCCTGCTCCAGGCGCTGAAGGCAGGCCTGAGGTTCGGCTCTTAAAGTGGTGCCCTCCACCAGGCCCACCCTCCCAAGCCGGAGGGTGGCGACGAGTCCCAGGGGACCAAAAACCTGAGGAAAGCCACAGACAAACACCGCATCATTTGGAGAGTCACCTGCACTCAAAAATGGGGAGAGCCGAGGGTCTATACTGTGAACGCCAGCTGCACCGCTGGGCACAAGGAGGCATTCAGGTCACGTGTTCCGCTAGACCGGGCCGGGCTTGGGCTCCTGTGAGGGTTAGACGGCCTGGCATGCATGCCCGAGCTCTGCAGAAGCTCTCTGAGACCCACACACTTAATTTGCTCCGTAACAAGGTTTCAAACATCAGGCTGTATTAATCCAAAAGGACAGAATTTAATTTCTAGAACAAAGTTGTGACTTCCGGGCATTACTGGGTGAGGAAGGACTCAAGGGAACTAATTTCCCTGTTCTTCTTTTAAGTCATTAGAAACCCCCAAGAAACAAGGGCAGAGCCAGTCTCCTGTCACACGAGCCCCCGGCGCCACACACCCAGGAGCCGAGGCAGCAAGAACACCCGCAGGAGGCAGCAGGGCACCCCGACTCAGACTCCTGGGTCAGGCCGGGCAGCCTGAGCGCACCTCAGTCGCCCTGCTGTGCACGCTCCTTCCGGACCCCTCTGAGGGCGAACCTGCGCTGCCATGACCATGACTCCTTCAGACTCAAGCTGCCGCTCCGGCAAGACTGCTGTCCACTCAGGGGATAAACTCAGCCTTGTCCTCCCTCAAGGAAACCAAGTTTCCCATAAACGTTTTGGGGTTTTGTCACCAGATCAGTGCATGATCAGAAAGGAAACAAAAAGTCAGCGTAGCAGACATGACCCTTTCCTGAGCTACTGGCCTCGTGAGAAAAGGGCCCGCGTTACGCGCACGCACTTTGTATAGGTGGCGTCGAGAGCAGGGAGAAGAGCCGTGAAATAGAACGGGAGGAGCAACTTTTACTTTATGAGAATAAAAGACGTTCACCTCCCATGAGCATGGATTAGAGAGGAGTGGGAGCTCCCGGGGGAAGGGATTTTTAACATTTACATGCCTCCCCGCAGCACCCCCTTATGGGAATCCCTCCCGGCAATGAGAAACGGTTGAGCCAGTCATGTGCTGCCACCCCGCTGGGTCACCACGTGTCCCCACCACCACCCAGGCCCTTCACAGGCCAACCCACAAGCATGCTGACCAGCGGCACCGCCTGCCCGGCACAGCCCACCGTGCCCATGGGAGAAACCCTCCGGCTGCAAGAGGCCCCCTGCTGCCACAGCAGCCCTCACCCTGGTGGCGCACACCTCTTCCTGGAAGGCTTCCTCGACGACCCCAGCAGCCAAGAGCTTTGCCTACACAATCTACTAGATCGCTGCAGCCTGTATTTTATGACCTGCTAGAATCTGCCTAGCAGGACCGCTAGGTACTCAGTGGGCAGGGTGTCGAGTGTTCCTTCTTGGTCGGTTATTTTCGCGGCAGTCGCTTACCCGCTCTCTTGGCACCTCACTGTGCACAGGGCCAAGATGCTCTAAACGCGTGCGCATCAAGGCCTGGGAGGTGGCCCGCACCTGGCAGAGGTGGGGTTCAAGGCACACTAGCTGGTCGCTCAGTGAGGAAAAGACTCCTGCGGCCCAGTTCCATGATCCCCTGATCTCAAGAAATGCAGAACTTAGAAAAATTCCAACCTGAATTCTGGAGTTAACAAAAACCCAGAGGCACCTGCATCTACACCATCGCCCCACCGCTGGCCCAGCCCCAGACGTCTGCACAGGGCGACAGAAGTTTCCTCCAGTCAAGGTCGCCCAGCCTGCCTGGCCCAAGAGAGTACGGCACAGACACGGGGTGACAGAGCCCCCCGAGGCTGGGGCAGCCGCTGGGCATGTCAGGCAGTTATGACTCAGACGTGACACGGTGCATGCGAGGCCTTCAGTTTTCCTTTTTGCTTAAAACGGCATTTTCTTCCCTCTCCGCGCTCCTCTGGGCCCCGCTGGCCGACAAGCAGCTGCTAAGCCACAGTCCCCTCTGGCTCTGCCCCCTGCGCGCTGCCCTGGCCGGCGGCTCAGGAGTCCCGCGCTCCAGCCTCGGCTGCCCGGGTCTGGTCGCCCTCCAGGTCCTCTGCCCTCACCTCGCCCTCCCCCGAGCTCTCTCCTGGGCCCCGTTCCTGAAACAGGTATCATGCCCCCCCATCTTCTTCCCCTACCAGCACTTGCGCAGGAGCACACGGGGGTCCTGAGCGCAGGGGCCCGGCGGGCGGCGCGTCCTGGGTACAGGCGCCCCCAGGTGAGCGGAGCCCCCGGAGTGGACCCGGGGAGCCCAGCTGTTGCATAATCTCGGGGTTCGCTCACTCGCTGTGCAGGGCGCGCGGCACGACCAGCATACCGAGCCGGGCGAATTTAACGCAATTTCCTTTGTCTGCCGGAGCCAGCCCAGACCCGCCACGCTCTGCGAGTTCTCGCCCCCCAGCGCAGCTGTCACCCCCAAAATGGGACTCGCAGGCCACGGCAGGCCCTTCCCGCCGCCCGCGCGGGCCCGTCCCGACGCCGGCGAGGTCCTGCTCGCGGGACGCGAGGCCTCGGCTGCGGCGTCTGCCGGGTCTGAGCCGGCGGGAGGCGCGGCGCCCGGAGAGGGGCGAGCAGGCCGGGGGCGGGCGCGGGGCGCGGCGGCCCAGCCCCCGCCGGGCGGGCGTCTCTTTCCCCTGGGACGAACGGGGGGGGCGTCGGGGGGAGAACGGGGGGCGTCGGGGAGAGAACGGCGCCCGGCCCCGGCGGGGTCCGCGCGGGCGTCGTGCGGGGGCTCGAGCCCGACCCGCCGCTCCGGCTCCCCCCGCGGCCGCGGCTGCTGCAGTGAGACCGCGGCTGCGCCCGCCGGACCCGCGCCGAGCAGGCCCCGCCGCGCCGAACCCCGCGCCAAACCCCGCCGAGCGGGCCCGCTGCCCCGAACCCCCGCCGAGCGGGGCCCCCAGCCCCGAACCCCAGCCGAGCAGGGCCCAGCCGCCCCGAACCCCGCCCCGCAGAACCCCCCCCCCCCCCGCCGCCGCGAGCCCCACGCCCCCAGCCCGCAGCGCATCGCAGCGCCCGTTCCCCCCCGCGCTCTCCCCCCCCCGTCCCGCCGTCCCCACCACCCCCGTCCCCCGTGCCCGTAACCCTGGCCCGCCGTCCCCCCCCCCGTCCCCGTTCCTCCCCCGTCTCGCCGTCCCCCCGTCCCCCACCCCGTCCCCGTTCCTCCCCCGTCCCGCCGTCCCCCCGTCCCCGTTCCCTCCCCCCGTCTCGCCGTCCCCCCCCCCGTCTCCGTCCCCGTTCCCCGTCCCCGTCCCGCCGTCTCCTCGCGCGGCGGCCGCGGCTCCTTACGCTCCAGCCACGTCCGGCCCGCGGCGCCCCGGCCCGCGGCGCCGCCCCGGGCGAAGGACCGGCCGGGCCCTCGGCGGCCCCGGGACCGCGACGCGCACCCGCGGGGCCGCGTGGGCGCCGGCCCGGCCCAGCCCGTCCCGCGCGCGGCCGCGAGGCCACTGCGGCTCCGGGCCCCGCGCGATGACTCAGGCGAACTTCGCGCCGCCGCCCGCGCCCCCGCCCGCCGCGCCGCCAAAGTTGCCGAAGTTGCGGCGCGGCCGGCGGCGGGGGGAGGCGGCGCCCGCGCCCGCGCCCCGCTCACCCGCCTCCGCGCTCGCCGTCAGGGGCGCCGGGCGCGTCCTCCGCCGCGGCCCGCAGCGTCCGGCTCCCCGGGCGGCCCCATGTCGGGGGGCGGGGAAGGGCCGGCGGCCGCCGGCGCCGCCGCCGGATGGAAAGTCCCGGCTGGGCTGCCACCCGGCTCGCGCACGCGGCGGCCGCGCCGCCCCGCGCTCCCCGCGCTCCCCGCGCCGGCACTTCCTCCCGGCGCTGGAAATCCCCGCGCGCGCCCCGCCCCGGCCCCGCCCCCGCGCCGCCCCCGCGCGCCCGCGCCGCGCCGGCCGCCGCCGCCACCGCGCCGGCGCGGCCCGCCCCCGCGCGCCCCCGCCCCGCGCGCCCCGCCCCCGCGCGCGCCCCCGCCCCGCGCGCGCCCCCGCCCGTTCTCCGGGTCACCGCCGCGCCGCCGCGCCGGCGGGCGTCCTGGGGTCGCCGGTGGCGTCACCCCCGCGCGCCCGCTGCCCCCGCGCGCCCTCGCCCGGTCGCGCGCCCTCGCCCGGCCGCGCGCGGACACACGCTCCCCCCACCCCCGCGGACTCACACCCCCAGCGCGGGCGCACACACTCGCCACACGCGCAGACACACGCTCACCCCCCCCCTCACACCCCCAGCGCGGGCGCACACACTCGCCACACGCGCAGACACGCGCTCACACCACCCCCCAGCACGGCCTCCACACGCCCGAGCGTGGACCCACACACTCACCACATACACACACATTCACCCCCCCAGCACGCACAGACACACTCACCACACATGGACACACTCACCCCCTCCCCAAGCGTGGACACCACACACTCACCACACATGAACACACACTCACCCCCCCAGCACACACACCACATACTCACCACACACGGTAACACACTCACCCCTCCAAGCACAGACACTACACACTCACCACACCCAGACACACGCTCACCCACACACCACACTCACCCACACATGGACACAGTCACCCCCCCTCCCCAAGCATGGACACCACACACTCACCACATATGAACACACACTAACCCCCCCCCGTGGACTCACCCCCCCAGCACGGGCTCACACACTCGCCACACGCGTGGACACACGCTCACCCCCCCATGGACTCACACCCCCAGCGCGGACTCACACTCGCCACACCCGTGAACACACGCTCACCCCCACCCCAGCACGGACTCCACACACCCGAGCGTGGGCTCACACACTCACCACATACACACACATTCACCCCCCCAGCACGCACAGACACACTCACCACACATGGACACACCCCCCGCCCCGAGCATGGACACCACACACTCACCACACATAAACACACACTCACCCCCCCAGCACACACACCTCATACTCACCACACACGGACACCCACTCACCCCTCCCAGCACGGACACTACACACTCACCACACCCAGACACACGCTCACCCACACACCACACTCACCCACACATGGACACACACTCACCCCTGAGCACGGACACCACACATCCACGCATGGACACACGTTCACCCCAGCACGGACACCCACTCACCCCAACCACAGAACACACTCATCCCCCCCAGCACAGACTCCACACATGGACACACACTCATGTGAGCACAGACACCACACACTCACACACGGACACACAACCACACATGGACACGCGCTCACCCCAGCACGGACATACACCTGCAATAGACACACAGACATACACTCAACCCCCCACAGACACACACCTGCACATGTACATGACAAACCTATGCACAGACCCGCATATGAACACACACCCCAATCACGGACACCACACACTCACCCACACACAGACACACAACCGAGCATGGATACCACACACTCACCACACCCAGACACACGCTCACCCCCAGCACAGACACCACATTCACCCAAACATAGACGTGCTCACCCCAGCATGGACACACACCTGCACACACACACACACACCCTGAGCATGGACACACACTCACTCCCCCACAGACACACACATGCACACAGACATGACACACCCATGCATGGACCTGCATATGGACACACACAGCAAGCACAGACACCACACACTCACCCACACATGGACTCACACCCACACACAGACACATGCTCACCCACAAATGTTCACACACTCACCCACACACGCTCGCATGCTCACCCTGAGCACACACACCCCCAGCATGGACATACTCACTGCACACGGACACACACCCACACATGCTCACACACACCTACACAGACACATACCTGCACATGGACATGTGCACCCACACATGGACTCACATTCACCCACATACATGCATGCACACCTACACACAGACACATACCCTGCACACAGACACATACTCTACACATGGACACACCCACACACAGATATGCTCACTGTGCACATACACCCGCACACACACTCATCCCCACAAACTCACACCAAGCACAGACACACACCTGCAGACATGCACTCACACATGGACATGTGCACACGCTCACACACCTGCACACAGACATGAGCACCGACACAGACACACTCACCACACACCGACACACTTACCTGCACACACATTCATCTGAACACAGACACACACCCACACAGACACACCCACACTCACATTCACCCCAGCATGGACACACACCCAGACACACTCACCAGCACACGGACACACACCCAAACAAACACACTCACTCACGGACACACACAAACACATTGGCAAACACACGCACCCTGCACACGATCACACCCACATACAGGGACACACCCACACATGCTCACACACTCACCTGCACACGTTCATAAATACGCTGTACACACTCTCCCTGCATATGCTCACATACTCACCCTGCACACGGACATAATTCACTCAAACACACTCACACTCCCCCCACACATGCTCACCCTGCACAAGGACACACTCACCTGAGTATGGACGCACACCCCGAGCCTGTATACACTCCCCCTGCACATGGACACACATACCTACACATGAACACACACACTGACCCTGCACACTCTCACACCTGCTCACATTCACTCACTCTGCACACACTCATGCATACCTTCACATACCCCACACACTTACACACTCACCCTGCACATGCTCACGCTCATCCCACACACAACACATGCTCTCACGCACCTGCTCACACTCACCCACACGTTGACACTCCCCCAACACATGTTTGCACACTCACTCTGCACACACTCACACTTATCTACACATGGTCCACATGGTCACACCCTCACCCTACATATACACACACCCAGCATGGTCTGACACAGCCTGCACCGTCTCGCCACACCCCCAAATAATCTTACACCCCACATAGTCTAACCCTCGATCCACTGTACAGTCACACACACACCACCTCACAACGCAGCGTACGGTCTCTCATGTGCAGCGCTCTCCTGCTGTCATTCACACTCAGGCAGATGCTCACGCTTGGCCACAGACACACACGCTCACTCTGACAGGCATATTCACACTGGCTGACACACATGTTCCCTCGCATGCAGGCACGCAGCACACGTGTGCACGCACACAAGCACACACAGGCGAGCCGGGGACTCAAGCCAGCGGGGCCGCTGCCCTCAGACATGGAGGGGCCTCCCCTTCCTCTCAGGCTCCTCCCACACCCAGGAAGTTGCCTTCGGTTCAGTGTAAACAGGGGCCAGGGTGCCAACAGCGCCCCCAGTTCTCATCTGTTCTGCTGCCCCAATGCCCCCATCCTCCCGAACTCCAGGTCTGCCGGGCACCTCCAGGCCAGGGGCTCCCATTTCTCCCTAGGTCTCGCCTGCTGCCCCCAAATCATCAATGTCTCCCGGAGGCCCTCCAAGCTGCCCCCCCGCAAGCCAGGCCTGGCGAGATGGGGAGCGCTGAGGGCCTGTCTCAGGCGCCAACCCCGAGGACGCAGAAGGGATCCTTCCCTCCCCTCTTCTTGAGGAGGCTCTAAGGCCCCAAAGCCAGAGCCGAGGCCCAGTGGCCAGCGCCAGGAGCCATCCTGGTGTTCCTCCAGCGACGTGTGAGCAGAGGCGGGACTCCAGCGTCCCCCCCTGCAGCTCCCCCGCGGAGCTGTCCAGAACCCCGGGCAGTCTGCCCAGGCTGCTGGCGCCAGGGCTCCCCCGCTCAGCAGGTGCTGTCCTCCGGCCGCCCAGGCCCAGCCAGGCTGCTTGGAGCCCGAAAGGGGCCCCCCGAAAGGGCCCAGCTCCTCAAGTTCAGGCCAGAGCGCCCCGGGCTGTTCCCAAAGGACTGCGTGGGCCGGGAGCCTGGGCTCTGGCTTGAACCTAGGACGCCGGAACCGGTTCCTCGGCCCTTCTGCCGGGCCCTCCAGAGCCGCGGGGGCCTGTGCTGCCTGTCACAAGTTATCACGACTCTGACCTCAAAGGATCGGGGCCCACTGCCTCCCGGACCCCGGCTCCGGACCCGCTGCACACTGCCCCGCCCTGGCTCGCAGGCCTGGGTCCTGGGACACCCCTCTGCACGACATCTCTTTACGACTTTGCCAAGTCAGGCTTTGCCCAACATTCTCTAGGCTAGACGAGTTCGGGCGACGAGGGAGAAGCTTCGGGGTTTTCTCGGGCGCCCCTTCTGCCCCCAGAAGCAGCATCAAGCAACACCCAGGAGGGCTGCCGGGTGGTCCGGGGCCCATGCTGGGCGCTGCCCCTTCTCTTCTGCCCCTTCCCCCTCATCCTCCCCCTCTTGCCTCAACTGCGGGTCTGGGCCCCCTATTCTGGGGAAGGAGGGCGCAGGGGGAGCGCTCGGGCGGGCGCTCAGGCCTCTGGCCCCCGCGGGCGGTGGTGGCAGGCAGCGAGGAGCGCCCGTCGCAGCGCTGCCCCCGCGGCAGCTCGCGGGCAGCTCCCGTTCCCTATGGCAACACGGCGGCCCCACGAGCTGCGCCAGCTCTGGACAAAGAAATTACTCGCCGGTATTTATGCAGCTCTCCGTGGCCCGGCGCCGTGGCCCATCGCCCGGGGACTGCGGGGCGTCGGCGACGCTCGGGGCTGTGGTGGGCGGCCCGCGCGGCCAGGCGGCCTCAGGCCTGTGAAGGGGGCTTTGCGCTGCCCGCCCCGGGTCCC